CGATGGGCTGAATTGCACAAAACGCATGATCGCACCGGCTAGTCTGGTGCGCGTTGCTGTTTATTCCTCTTGCTCACCAATATGCTACCTAAGCTTGATGTTATAGAATCACCAGTCGAGTGCTACACTTTGATTGAAGCAGAGAAAAAACATAGGTTTCGAACAGACAGTCTCTAGAAAATGATAAAAAACAAATCATAAGCTTCCGAGAATTGATATGAAAATCACAAGCTTGCAAAATGGAGCAGACAGATTTCAGGTAAGAAGTGCGTGGATATTGGCTGTGGCATCGGTGGCATTATGCAAGATCTGGCAGCTACGGGTGCTGAGTTTACTGGCGTGACAATAGCCGGTCAAGAAGTAGCTATCGGAAATAAACGATTTCAAAATAATGGCTTGAAGAATTGTCGTATTGTGTTGGGCAACTGCTGTTGCTTGCCGTTCCTGGACAACACCTATGACTGTGCCTACGCTGTAAAGTATTAGAATTTTTTTCAGCAAAATCAATTTTTTTTTTGTAATTAAAAAGCTGTATTTTGATAGCTTCTTCAGCAGGTATTTAATAGCTACGTTTTTTTCTCGCCACTGATGCAGCTGGCAACTTCTCCATTCTTTCCTATTTTGGGCTTCTCTCACCCGTCTTTCCACTATCTTAACCATTATCTCCTTCTTTTGAGAATGTTAAGTGGCACTCAATAATCCATGGTACCTCACTAAAATCGATGAATAATAACCGTAAACGCTCCACCACTAGATATCTTGTACGAAGCGGCGTTCTTGATGTTTCATAATGCTTGTGCGCCTTTACCGCTTTACCACTCGAGGCAAGTTTTGTGCATATCAGGAGATAAATTTCAAATATTCTAGGTATATGCACTGAAATATTTGGAGGATCTGAGGCCAGCGTTACAGGAAGTCAATCGAATTTTACACCCTGGTGGATTGTTCCTTGTTTATGATCTCCTGAAAACTGATAAATACGATGTCGATTCCATTGAGCATCGGACAGTTGTCGAGAATTTGGAATATGGCTGTGGAATGCCTTCGTTACATACAAGGTAAAACTTGCGTTTTGAAAGAAATGTCTCGAAAACCGGCTAATCCTATTTAGAAATATTGGGCCGGAGGACCAGACAGGAGGGTCAGGAAAGATATTTTATAGGGAAATGCTAAATTTGGTTGTGTAGGTGGTCAATGAATCGGAAAAGAGTTAGTCCGTTGAAAATTTTGGCGGGAAAATAATTGTTATTTCGGTAATCAGAAGAGCTAGGAGGCTGAGAATTTAGGAGGATATTCTGTGTTTGTGCTGGAATCTATCACATCCAAAATTTTGGCGCAGAAACTTACTAATTCGGGGCCAGAAACCCAGAAAGCAGAAATTTTAGAATGATTTGCCTTGCCTACGCATGTTTTAAAGATTTTAAATCCGGCCTTTATGTACACTTACATTCTACATACACTTACATTCCACATAACGGCGAAATTTTTAGTAAGAGATTTCACAGCTTAGAAATCAGGTAACATTCGACTGTTTTTGCATACACCAAAGTGTTTTACACTTCTTATCAGCAAATGTCCCTGGACGGAACTGTGCAAAACACATTCTCGCACTGGTTAACACGCCGCCATTCATTTTTATGCGTTTTTGCATACACAAAAACGCATATTGGGAAGAGGTTGTCTGTGTGTCTGTGTGTTCGCACTTTTTGTCACCCACTTTCAACTCGAGACCCAGAAAAGCTA